GAACAAAGTACGAGAGAGAAATCATCGGGGCCGGTGGATTGGATCTCGATCTGGAATGCCACTAATTGACCCGGAAGCTTTCTCTTTAATTTTTGTAAGCTTTGAGGGCGCCAACTTTTCGAAAACTTGTTGTAGCGGCAAAGGGTGGTGGAAAGAATGCGACTTAAAGCTGAGCTCTCGCTCTCCTTTGATATATCAAATTCCTATGGTGTTTCTAGAAGGTCGGGTTTTGATTGATTTCTATAATGTCCAGGCGCGTGCAAACTATTCTGATCGATCGATCGATTAGAGAGGATAGCACCAAAACAATGGTTGCACAGAACCATCAATACCAAATCAATCAATCATACACCGGATGGGATTTTTTCCCCCGTGATATATTCCCACGCTTGACGACGATCTACTTGCGAAGAAGAAGAGGACAAACAAAACCACAGCTCCAAGCTTGAGTAGCGCCAAAAGCTTGTAGGATCTTTTCCTCGTAGCCTTTTGGAAGATGCAAACAAATAAAATCAACCAAGAGATCACTCTTGATCTCTTAGATTTTGGATAGATCTCTGTGATGATCGAGGCGAGCAAGAGTATGTGTCCTCGCGATCCCGCGCGCGCGCGTGAGATGGAATGCACCCCTCTTCTTCCTCCCCGGCATTTTGTCTGCATGAGAATTGGAGAAAGCTCTGCTAAAGGCTCGTCTCTCCCTCGCGCGCGAGCGCTACCTGTTGTGGAGCGGGTTCGGACCCGTGGGTGCCAGCCGCTTGGACGCACCAAAGACCGACGAGGCGGGATCGATCGGTGGCGGGATGCGCAGGGGATTGGACAGCGGAGCCCCGCTCGACTTGCGCGCGCCGGAATTGGGCGAGGGAGAATTCGCGGGCAAACGAGGAATGCGAGCGGCGGAAGCGGCGAGAATCAGCGCGAGCGCGAGGAAGAGGAGAATAGCTGCATTGGGAGGGCGAGGAACCATCTTCCGCTCTCTTAATTTCGGCCAATTTGGTGGATGGAGGGGGAGAGAAGAGACAAAGAGAAAGTGAGAGAGTGAGAGGGGAGGGGGGAGGCGATCGCTCTCCAAAACATAACAAAGCCAAAAGCTTCTTTCTTTCTGGAATTCTTTCTTTCCTCCACAAGCAAAGCACAAGGACACTGGAAAAACAAATGCTTAGGCTACCTCGTTAGAAGAAGAAAGCCTTCGTTTTAACGGAGGAGGAGAAGTGTGATTGATTGAAACATGACTGTCAGTGGTGTCTTCGTGAGTGCTGATTCGAGTCATTGAGTGTGGTGATTGATTAGGCAAAACATTGAGAGCCAGCATATTCGGGGGCGCATCTTTCCTGTGCTATCGCGCCGACGCGTGATGAGCAATGCGACCGACCGATTCCATAGCTGCATGCTTTCGCTTTAAACTAAACCAAGCCCAGCTTTAAAAAAAAACTTCTTGACCCTGTCACTCCAGTTTGCTTAAGTCAAATCGCTTTGATTGGATCTCTGGCACGCTTTGCAATGCAACAACAACATCAAAAACTTCTCGCTGGGAGTGGGAGTTTCTTCGCTTAAAAACGATAGAGTTTGATCCAAGCCCGAAAAGCCCACACACACACACACAGGGAGAGAGAGATAAAATATATGGAACAAAGCTCGCTAGTGGTGAGTGGGGTCTGCGCTTGTCCGTGGCCTTTTTGGGCGACCGGGGAATCGCTGGCGAGCTTGGAAGATTCGCTGGATTTGACTTAACAAGCATTTTCTTTCCATGAGTTTATCGAAAGGCATCACCTCTAATGGCGGCAAGCGAATTATCCCTGTCAAGTTAGAGGAGACGGAGCATCTCAGCGATGGTTACCTCTCAAAGCCAGATCTTTCTTCTTCCTTTTTTTAACGACTTTGTCAATATGCTTTGTCCATCCAGACTCTAGCCATTAACTTGCGTGAGGTCCTCGTCTGTGTCTCTATAGTGTGTCTCTCTCTGTGTGTTTGTGTGTGTGAATCAATCAGCGATGCGGCAGCTTATAAGTACATCTGGTGTAACAACAGCTCGGCTTTTCGGAAAAGTGGAGGTCTACAAGTCCCCTCCCTGTCTGCTGTCTCTGATAAGGACGGAAGATCAAGTCAAGCTACAGCTCAAACAAAAACAAAGGAAAGGAAAAGCAGAAAAGCAACACACGTACCTTCCAGTAATGCGTAAACGGTGTTGCGGGAGATTTTCGCTGTTTGGTGTTACCCAAGAGCTCTCTCCCAGCGAAAGGATGATCACGTTGTTGGCCGAGTCATCGTCGACATGCCTCGTCCTTGGAAATGCGAGCCAGGCAACGCAACTGGTAGTTCTTCCACTGCAACCAGTCTTAGTAGAGAGCACGAGAAGCAAGGAAATACAAACAGAAATGTGAGGGCATTATCACTGTACCGGTGTCTTCTTCCAGCGTCAAAGCACTGTCGCCTCCTCCACCATCCGTATCGGTACCGGCGACACCAATGCACGTGTACACGCTTTTCTCGTCGAGCCCCAAGAACTTGTACGCATTGTAGACGTCATCGATTGTGGCCAGCTCGTAGAGGTAAGCGAGGTCTCTGATGCAGCTGACGTTCTGAAAGAAATAATACGAGAAAGATGAGATGTCATATATATAAAATATCATTTGCTGCTTTTCTTACCTTTCTACCAACACTCGGAGCTTGCAAATGCGTGATCAGCCCCAGCCAGTACTTGTTATCCTTGCAATCCGATTCGTGTCTCATCATCAAAATCCTCTTCGCCTGGAATTAGCTTGTGAGCCTGTGCACGACCCAAGGAAAAATTGCCTTACTCTGTCTAATTCACGTTGAGTGATTTGATTCGAGTGGAGTCCCTTCAAAACGTTTATCGAGGCTTCAACAGCACGTTGGATCTGGACAGCAGTTCAACAGGAATGATCAGGTGTGGTACATAACGAGCACGGAAATCAAAACCTTGGTCGGTGTCGAAGTCACGGAAATCACAAACCAGCCACCTTTCAAACGGTCGAACAGACGGAACTCAAACGATACGTCGTAAGTCAGTCCAAGAGCGTCTCTGACATTGGTAAACAACCTGTAACACAAGAGCTGCTGGAGTGACTGCGGCTGGAAAGAAGGACGATACCTAGCATTTATGATTTCGGCCAACAACGTCATAGCAACAGATCCATAAAGCGGGTGTCGAGGCCTTTTCCAAAATGATCCAGTCTCCCCGGGCTTTTGTATCACTTCAACACCCGGCGGAGCCAAAGCACGGGCTTGTTGTTCTGGATCCAAAGAGCTCTTTGACAATGGTTCAGAAAAGAACGGAATTACCTGTTAAGTTCTTCGGGACAGGTTCCACAAGAACGTTGAGATCGAGACCATCTACTGTATAGCCCCATCGATTTGGTGCTGGCCCAGCGACGTAAGCGCATGCCCTTTCATCAGTGTCCTTCAAAAAGAGCTGATAAGAAACAAAGCACGGCTTAGGCGTGTCATTCTACAGAAAGTACAGGAAATATAGCACAGACCTTTTGATTGCAAACTTCAGGTTTAGGAGACGGATTGATAACAACTGGCTTCTCTTTGGCTTCGATTTCTTTCCTCGCAGGCACGTCCTTTTCTGGCGCAACTGTCCCCAGATAATCCAATATACATGTTTCGATGTCATGCTCTGAGAAATCCCCAACGATGCATAGCTGTATCACAAAACAATTTAAGTCTTTGCGGGAAAGATACAGGCCACTTACCTCCATATTGCCCGTCACCAGTTGCTTCATCACGGCTTCTCTTACTACTGGCAGTGTCAACTTCTCGATGGCTGAGGGATTAGGCTCGAGCAATCTCTCGTCTCCATCAAACATCGCACACATAAGTTTGTAAGCCGTTGCTCGCTCTAGGCTCTTAGGCATAGCCCGGAAATGCGACATGTACAATTGCTTTGCCCTGTCCAAAGCGTCCTCTAGCCAAACATTCCGCTGCACAGAAAGAAAACTTTTCATGTCTCAAACGGAAAAACCTGTTACAATGTACTGTTACCTCCATGACAAGATGAAGAAGTTGGAACGCTGCTTTCATTCCTCCATCACGCATTGTAAAATGGAAGTCCATGCACATGAACTCCTCGTCCGCCTCTAACACGCAATTTATGAGTTTAGTAACGCAGAACAACTCCACCTGTATAATCAACATCAAGGCGTGTTAATATATCCGGATGTCGTCTATAGCAATACATGCCTGTTCTCTTGAATATCCACCCACGACACCGCCTTCACTGAAGGTTCGAACGCCGACTGCAACAGCTCCACTTGCATCTGAAGTTTCACGAGCTCTACCGCCTGCGACGACTAATCTCATCACACCACCTTTAGCCTCGTTCTGAGTAATCTGTTGCAATGGTGGTGTTAAACGGCTTACGCCTTGAAATCAAGCAAAACAATACCTTGTAATTGACACGCATTCCATTTGATAGCCGTCGCATGACAATCCCTGTCTGCTCGTTGACGATCTTCAAAAGTGTTCCACCATCTGTAACGGGAACGAAGCATGGCTTTCTTTGCATTTTAAGCGTCGATAGCTCTGCAGCTGATACCAGCTCGTCCGGGACATCAAACTGAAAAACAAACAAGCGACGTGTTGACTAATTCACTGGAGATGATCAAGGTACATTACCTCTGCTTCAGGTGCCAATGGCTCACTTAAACCGGATTTAATAGATTCCACAATTTCATCCGGGGTTATTTTAAACTCAATGTCCCCTCGGCCATTTTCGTGTAGCGACTTCGGAACACAGGCCACAATTGCAGCAGGTACAGGTGCATTTGAATCTCCAAAATCTGCAACATATTGGAGCATGGACTTCGCCGTGGCATGCACCTGGACGAAACACGAGTGAGAAACAAAATTAGAGGAGAGAAGTCTTACGTCTTCAAGAGTCACGCTATCAGCCACAGCGAGCAGCGCTTCATAACCCTGCTGTTGATCCATAACAGTATGTCCAACTGCATCACTTTCCATGATAAAGTCCAGATTGTCAATTGATGGAACGCTGTCAATCATGGCTGCCAAATGTTCACTGTCTTTTAGAAGAGCATTCAAATATCTTGCCAGCTCTCCTTTAGTGACTCCGTGCTCTTTTAATCTGCTAATCTGTAGGAAAATGTGTTAGTATGTTAGATTTCTCTACTGCACAATGAACAAGACCTCCTGGACAGCAACTTTGAGCGCTCCGGACCAATCCTTCGGTTCCGCAGTGACGGCAAGAGTAGTAACAGTGCATCCTTCTCGTCCAGAATCGCTATGATCCAGCTCTATACTGATGAAAGGTGGATTGGCACTCTGATTCAATGCAACCAGTAAGCACGATTCGTCAAAAATTGCTACTTCAAACCTTGTAGCGTGTACTAATTCGAAATTGGTATGTGGACAAGACAATTCTTCTCATCAATACGTCGCGTATATCCGAATAAGTTTGAACTCTTTGGATGGGTGTCTGCAAAATCATACACAAGCCGTTACTTCTCGCGTGGAAAGATACTGATGAGAGTCCATACCTTACAGAAAAGGTTCAGCGAGAAATTCTGAAGAAGTTCGTGCTGAAAGATGTATGGCACTTTGTTTTCTCCACTTATCCCTGGTAAAGACCAGCTGTGTTTAACAGGAGGTCTTATTGCATGCCTTTCCTTTCTTGTCGGCGCTGATAAGAATGAAACAGGAGGAGGATCAACGGCTGTTGGGCCTGCCAATCCTTTTTGAAGTTTCGGTAGTTGTTGTGAAGCGGATGCTAGGATATTAGCTAGCGGACTAGCCAGGTTCGCATGATGCAATCCAGCAGGAGTTGAGCCAAATTGCGCCTTCAAATGCGAATGCCCTCATTGTCAGCTTATAAAAATATGAACTTCATCAACTGACCTCAATCAACTCTATAGTTCGTCCCACACTGCCAATGTCGCCAACTATGAACAAGGTTGCATTCGCAGGGAAGTACCACCTATCATGAAACGCTTTGATTGTTTCAACATCCCATTGTTTGATTTGTTCCTCCAAACCAATGGGAAACCTGTAGCCCAGTAGATTTTCCGAGTGCAGTTGTTGCAAAAGCTGCAATAGCAGCATAAGACAAAAAGAAATGCATGCCTAATCGCACTATACCTGGCAGTCTACTCGGTATTCGATTGTATTCATCATTTGTAACTCTGAAAGAACTGCACTTCTTTCTTTCTCGATTCGTGAAGCCAGAAATTTTGGTTTGAAAGCAATCTGTACGACAAAAGATAAATAAAAGCGGATATAGAATACAGATTGCGAACCTCGTGTAGAGCATCAAGCACAAGAGGAAGAAGAGGTTCGTTGGTTCCCTGTGCGGTCACAGGTGAATGAACAT